TGGATTTGAGCCCTCCAGCACCCGCTCCACCCGGCATCCTTCTGCACTGCCTGCCTTTCCCGGCAGGGTGGCCTTGCTGTTCTGTCACCAAGCAGAGACCGAAAGTAAACTTAGACACAGATGGTCTTTGTTTGGCAAAAACCTACTCTGAGACACACAAACTTAAAGTGAGCAGGTGTCTGTTGTCCCTGGTTTAGGGCACCTCCAGTCTAGCTTGTCGCTGGGACCCAGAAACCCCTTGAGACCCAGTCACCCTGGCACAGTACTATGCTTTGGTGAGCAAAGCATCAACTTAAAGAGTTACAACCTTAGAGGTATCTGACAGGCACCCTGGGAGCACCCCCAAGGTATGGACAAGCAAGGCCTCCTCCAAGGGAGTAGGTGATCATCAACTGCAGAACTGCCCTGGGAGAGCACAGCACCTCGTGACAGTGACCAGGAAGCAGAGGGTATGGACAGACAGGACATCCAGGTTGCTAGATTCATCATTTCACTCAGTACTGATCAAGAAAAAGATGAGTTTGCTTTCCCTACATACCTAGATATACCAACACATGGGATGCTGGCGGAGGCGGGGGTGATTAGAGTAATAATAATAAAAGAGCTGAGACTGGCTGGGCGTGGTGGTGCATGCCTGTAGTCCCAGTGATTCAGGAAGCTGAGGCAGGAGGACCACACATTCAAAGCCAGCCTCAGCAACTTAGTGAGACCCTGTCTTAACATTTAAATATAATATTTATTTAAAAGGGGGGCTGGTAAAGTGATAAAGTGCCCCTGGGGTCAATCCCCAGTACCAAAAAAAAAAAAAAAGAGAGAGCTGAGACTGTTTTTGTTCACTAAGATGACCATCTGCTTATGCAGCACCTTTTGGAGGTGGCTGAAATGGTTTTCTGTTCCATGAGCCCAGTGTGCATCACTTGAAGAGACCGCTAGCCCCCATAAGCACAGAATGGTGTTTAGCATACAGTGGGGTTACAGCCATCAATTTCTGGACACTTACAAAAGGAATTCTAGGTGGTGTCCAAAGGCTCTCTGCTTCCTAAACACTGGGCTTATAAGAGTCTATAAGAAACAGCTAATTTAGGACTGGGACTGTAACTCAGTGGCAGAGCAGTTGACTAGCACATGTGAGGCACTAGGTTCGATCATTAGCACCACATAAAAATAAATAAAATAAAGGTATTTTGTCCATCTACAACTAAAAAAATTTGAAAAAGAAACAGCTAATCATACGGAAGCTTCCAACTTGGAACAAGACCAATCTACAAATTAAAAGAACTATGTAGCTATGTAAACCTTGTTTCAAAATTTTACTTTTAAAACTTAATTAAAACCTTGCTTTATTTACAAAGAAATACTAGATTTTAAAAAATCCAGACCTTTTGTTGCACTTAAGAACTGTGAGTTCAAAAACCGTAAGACAAAAATCAGTTGGAGCTTTTATAATGCCAAAGCAATTCCACTTTTTAATAAGGTCAATAAAAAGGCTTATTCATCAGTTCTACTGTCATTTCAATTTTCTCTTTTTAATTCTGTATTTGAAAACACTTGTGTTTCTTAACATTTTTGTATGAATTTTAAAATATAAAACTAAAGATTTTGCTGATAAAGCACATGCATTTTTATTATGTGAAAAATGAACTCCTCAAACCAGGAATCAAATAAAAGCCCCTGAAGTCTGAAATGACTTTTTTGGGGGGGCGGGTAACCAAGGATTAAACTCAGGAGTACTCAATCACTGAGTCACATCCCCAGTCCTATTTTGTATTTTATTTAGAGACAGGATCTCACTGAGTAGCTTCTACCTCACTTTTCCTGAGGCTGGCTTTGAACTTGCGCTCCTCCTTTTCAGCCTCCTGAGCCACTGGGACTACAGGAGTACACCACATGCCCTGTCTGAAATGGCTTCTTGACAAAAGCCTAGTAATAATAGAGACCTCTCAGGGAATGGGGATTTTCTAGGGAGATCCCCACAGCAGAAACACAAAGCCAGCACTAAGCAGGTCTTTTAAAAATATGTTTGGTATTAGACTGTAATTGCAGTACCTGGTAAAATGTTAGCTTTTTTATATTCTTTCATGGAAGAAAGAATGGAGGGGAATTGGTGGTGGGAGGTGGGGTGACAGCTGTGGCAAGCAGGCAGTGGTCAGTTGTCTTGGAATGAAGCTGTTCTCTGACAACTCATGGGGAAAACCCTTCCTTCCCCTTCCTTCACCCTGCAGGGAACACAGCACTGCAAAAGGCGATTTCCTTTTCCCCTCAACCTCTCCCAGGGACTCCTACCGGGGAGATCTTAGAAATGATCCCATAGGAAGAATGATTTGACAACCAGCTGAATCAAGAATGAGAATGAGAAAGGCTGCTTGGGAGGTTGCGTAGTGAAAAGAGGACTAATGGAGACGGGGGAAGGTACTTCAGTGCTTCAAGCTCACACTTGCCTAGGCCATCCTTAGTCACAGTATCATAATAATACATGGCCATAGGACAACGGTTCTCAAGCTTGGCCTCAGGGATTCACCTAATGCTGGACTGCACCTGATATCGATTAAATCAGAATCCCTGGGGGTGGGACCAGTCACAAATTGTTTAATTGTTTTTTTTTTTTTTTTCAATTCCCCAAGAGATTCCTATGTGTATCCAGTGTTCAAAAGAAAGGCTTTCCAAACTTTAAGCTACCCAAGAACAGCCTGGGGATCTTATCAACATGCAGATTTAGATTAAGTAGGTCTGGGGTGGGGCTGAGATTCTGAGATGAGGCTGATGCTGCTGGCCCAGGGTTGGGTTCTGGCAAAGTCACATAGGAGCTAGCTCTCAATATTGCCTCCAAGAGTACCCAGAGTTGCTGGGGGTGGCCCGGAAATTGGGCTATTCCAGGAATGTTTTCACAAAGTGTGTCAACTCCTTAATGTGCATCTAAGAAAATTCAGGTGTCATTTTGCTGGTTCTCTGATCCATCAAAGGCTGCGGCATTCTTGGAAAATACTCTGTCAGTGAGGGACTGGCTCATTCTTTTTCTCAAAGATTCTAAGAAGGATGAGGGGGAGGAATCCTGGTTATGTTCAAGGCTCTGATCTGATAATGGAATCCAGTCACATGGAAGACGCTCACTCTCCTAGCTATGGGGCAGAGCAACACTGAGCTGAAAGTTGTCATTTCTTAACATCCTATAAGAAGGCATAGAAAAGACAAGAATCCTTGGAAGTAAAACTAACTTAATAAACATGGTTCACATGATGTACATTTTGCACAATCACATTTGAAAGACTTTTACTGTCCTTTTTCTGAGTACAGGACTTAATTTCTATCTGTAAATACACAAATTGGAGATATTATACATGCTTACTTATAGTATTAACAGGACTAATATTCAGTTGTCTCCTTAGGACCATCTAATATTTAATATTTGTTAAAAAAATCAATCAAAATTACTCATGGCTTGAGTTCAGTTAGTTCAAGACACCCAAAGCTGGAGGTAAAATTCATTTTTATTCTGTGTTTTCGTAAAATAAATTCAGAGGAAGACTCTTTACACAAATTCCATGATTAACATCCCACTACTTGTATTTAATAATTCTGACTGGCTTTATCCATGGTGATCTGCAAAACCAGGTCAGTAATGGCTTTGATGCTTTTTAAGTACACACACTGGGTGGCAAAACTGTATTAAAAGAATAAGACAATAGTAGGCTTTTGTGGAAAACAGCTAGCTAGCTGAAGTGGAGATAGAGGCATAGAAATGTGCTCTTTGTGAAGCAGGAACATGGCCTCATGTAGCCGTGAGGTTGAGTTAGAGATCACAGAAGGCCTGACCCCAGAACACCCAGCCAGAAAGAGGTAGTGACCCAGGTAGTGCATACAGGCACACCAGAGCAAGGGCCTTTGTTGGTGGTGGTGGTTGCAATGTCAGTTTCATTTCGAGTTTTCCAGCTCCCTTGCATCTCCATAGATTGCAAATTATTAAACAGTCAGTGAAAACTTACCTTGTGGACTTAAAAAAGAAAAAAAAAAAAACTAGTTCTACAGGCTGGGGATGTAGCTCAGTGATAGACGGCTTGCTTAGCATGCATGATGTTCTGGGTTCGATCCCCAGCACTGGAAATAAATACAATCATCATCATCTAAAATTTTTGGGATAATACTTTGTTCAAAAACACTTTGAATTATTAGTTATTTAATTCATGTAACCTCCCCCATGTGATAGTTCCATAATATCATTCCCACTTTAAATACAGATATATGAGAGACAAGGTCAAGTGATTTGCCCAACATTCTACAGCACAGCCTGACAGCATGGGGCCTCAGCTGAGTTCCTGGTTCTGCCATCCAGGTGCACCAGGCAATCTCTGAGGACACAGTGTAGAGGGCCAGTGCTACAGCAGCGATGCTGGCTCCAGTCTTTTCCAAATAACAGTGAAGGATGAAATACCCGAACAGCCTGGACAAACTCTCACCACCACTTGTACCGGTTTTTACAGGAAGGAAAACTCACATCCCGGGTCCTGTTACCAGCAAACATTCAAAGAACCCTTAATTTCAGAAACCTGAGTAGCTGCGAGGGCTCCTTATAACCGCACTAGTCCCAGCCCCTCAAGTACGTGGACCGCACCCTTCTGAGGGACTGAAGTCGCACTGAAGACCAAGAAGGTTCCTCTTCCTGATGGACAAACCTAAAGAACCAAAGCTGTCGCCGGCGCAGCCTGGCGCCATACAGCCTAGAGGGAGCACTTGGTAAACCAGCAGAGACCGCACACTGCACTCGCCCTGGCCAAACGCGCACCCACCGGGCGCACCTCCTCATTGTCTGCATTTAGCATCCTCCACCGAGGGTCACCAAGCCTCCGCAGCCCAGCAGGAAGCGGCAATCGGGGGAGATCACCTTCACCCGGTCTCCACCAGCCTGCCCGGCCGGTGCCCGCTAGCGCCCCGGGCTGGTTGCATGGCTCTCTCCGCCACCTGCCCGCTGCTGGCCCTCCACCGCCCGCGTCCCAAGCCACCCTTACCTGAGCCGGAGATGTGGACCCGGAGCGGGCGGCCCCTGCTGGAGGACGATGAGAGGTCGCTCTGGGAGCGGCCGCGGGGACTCAGGTCTCCGGGCAGCCAGCGCAGGGCAGACGCAGGCGGCGGAGCGGGAGCCTCGGACTCGGAGGCTGGAGCAGCCGCCGCCTGCTCGGCCGGCTCGCCCGGGAGCCCCGCGGGACTCCTCCCCGCCTCGGCCATCGGTTCCGGGCGCCGGGCCCGCGCGCCGGCGCCGAGGGCTGCGCTACCGGGTGCTGCCCCGCGCGTCGCGACCCCGAGGCAGCGAGGCCGGCGAGGCTGGACGCCCGGTGCCGAGAAGCGGGTGGAGAGGGCGGGAGGAGGAAGAGGACAGAAAAGTTTGCACAGGAAGGAGCCGCCTACAGTCGACTCTCGCTCCCGCGGGCGAAAGCCGCAGGGTTGAAGCTGGGCGGCCCTCGGTGCCGGTGAACCTGCCCGGCTGCTCCTCCCCCAAGCGCCAGGCACTGCCCCTTTGCAGGACCGCAGCGGAGGGTCCCCCCTGGTGGGGCGCGGTTCACCCAGTCGGCTGGCCGCAGAAGAGTGGAGTCTGGGCTTGAGGAGCTGGGATGCAAAGTCAGGGCTGACGGTACCTTTTCTACACCGTGGCGGGGGGCGGCGCGGGGGACGACTTGTGCACGCACTTAACCGTCTTGTAATAGGACAGCAACCATCATACCCAGTTTATGGGTATGAAACTGGCGCCCAGGGTCCTTGGGCTCACGGTGGGTTAGTGGCAAATCTGGAGTTGTTTGCAAAGTCAAGCCTGATGACCTTTCCCACCACTAAAGCACCCTGCCCTCAAAGCCCATCTCTATTCTCACCATTGTCCACATTCCTGGGTTTCTGTCTGCTGGGTCAAATTCAAATGTCATGTTTAAAAAGCCAGTCTTCTGAGAACTGAACAAACACCATAGATTGGATGTCTGAGTCAACGCTTTCTAACAGGGATGAAGCTGAGTTGATGGGAAGTATCTTGGTTGACACCGCATCTTGTAGGGTGTTGCAAAATGCCCAATGGAGATTTTTGCTAATTCCTTCAGTGATTTCAGAACCTGAGCTTAATCGGTTTTACAGATAGGTCCCTCAGTTGTGGCTTGTCCAGAATGGAAAGGCTATAAGTTAAGCTCAGGAGTCACCACTTCTGGAAGTTATGGGGAGAGAAGGAATATCCCTGAGCTCACCTGCAGATCACAGAGGGTGGACAGGAAGAGAAGGAGACTATGGAGGGGAAGGAGAGAGTTAGCAATTGCCACTTACCATACACATTCACAGCCATATTCCAGGCGCTACATCAGGCACTTTGCAGATAATATATTATTTAATAAGAGAACAAACCCAAACAGTGAATGTAAGAGAAAAACAAAAACCAGGAGTGCAAACTGGAGAAGCCCCTGGAAACCCACAAAGCAACTAGGTCATCATCATAATAATAGTTTGCCCTTGATAATTGAAAAGGTTGTTCCCCATAATTCTCACAGCAACTCTGTGGGAAGGTTATAAGTGTTCCAGCTTTACTGTGAAAACTGTCCAAATACAGGTCCCTTTCCACAAAGCCAGCCAAGGTTGCCTGGTCTTGCTCTAAATATTTCCTACTAATGAACCCTTTAAATTTATACTACCTCAAATGTCACTTTACTTTCTAGATATAGTGAATACTTTATGATACTAAAATGATGGGCTATGTGTCACTTCAATGATAAAAGTAAAAGGGCACTTATATGGGTTTTATACTTATCTCCAAATAATTAACATTAGGTTACATTGAGTTATTATTAGATTACAACATGAGATTATAACCTTGAATAATAAATGCTAGATTACAATGGTAATTCTCACTGCTCTTGGCAATCTGGTATACTGTATTACTGGATGGGTGGTGACAATGCTGTCTATTCCCCTTATGTCCACTTCCTCAACAGCTAGCTCAGCCATGTGCAATCCCCCTCCTCCCCGGAGTGTACATCCCGGAGGCTCCATGTAGGTCTCCCCACCATCTGCTGTCCCTGTTGCCTATGATGTGAGTGCTCACAGTCTTCCAGGCTGCTTGCTTCTCCGGTCTCTGGTATCTTCCATATCATCTCTTGTGAAGAGAAATGAGTAATTAAATACTTTAAAACACAAGAAGTCTTCCCTGACTCATTATTCAGGTATTCCAATAATCCATTAATTTGACTTTTATTCAAGAAATATGTACTTGAGAGCCTTTTGTGGGCCAGGCCCTGTGCTAGACATTCCATGCCCTGTGTTCCTCCCCTCATTTTCCCTTTGCAGCCAAGCTTCCAGAGAGAGAGAAGCTTACACTTGCAGTTCCTGTGCTTTTGTTATTTTCCCTTTCCACTCACTCCTCTGCTGTCTGCAGTGTGACTTCTGCCTCCAGTACTGCACGATGCTGCTTTGGCAGCTGTCACTTTGAAGCACCTAGATGCTGGTATACTGGGAACCTCTCAGTTCTCACTTAGTTGGACTTGTTCTGCAGCCTTTAACATGTTCAATAATTTGCCCCTCTTCTAGACTCTACCGTCCTGGTTTCTAGGGCACTCATTTCTCTAGATGTTCTTCCAGCCTTTTGATTCCTTCTTACCCTCTTCTCAGGGTCTCTTTTTGCCACCTTCCCTTGGATAGTGTTGCCTACAGTCCCAGCATCAATCTTTTTCTCTTTGCAATTAACAAATTTTGCCTGGGACATCTCACTTGGGGTTTTGAGCTATGCACAGATGACTACCAAATCTCCACCCCGGAGTTTTGCCCTGAGCTCCAGATTCCAATGTCCAGCTGCCTACTGGGTTTCCCTTCTTGAAGTTTCCTTGACACTGACTGGGTGGGTAGTCAACATTCCCAAAGTTGAATTCCTTCTCTGCAAGTGTGCTCTGCCTATTCTCAATCCTAAGTGTCTTCAGAATCAGTTTCTTCTTGCAATTCACAGTCACCTGCATTGTTAGAACCTTCATCTTCTGTTTTCTTTTAAAAGGACTCTCTGCCTCTATAGTCACTTTCTCCCACTCTGCCCCCCATCTCATTGATGATCTTTCTAAAACATTCTCAAGACTTTGCTGCCCCTCCATTTAAATTCTTTTCAGAAGGCTGGGAAGGTAGCTTAGTGGTAGAGCTCGTGCTTAGCATGCACAAGGCTCAATCCCTAGCACCTATCTAAATAAATGAATAAATTATTTTAACACAGTGTGCAGTCAAATAGATGATTTTTCCTCTCCTCCTCCTCCTCCTCCTCCTCCTCCTCCTCCTCCTCCTCCTCCTTCTTTGTGTGTGTGTGTGTGTGTGTGTGTGTGTGTTACTAAGGATTGATCTAGGGCCTTGCGCATGCTAGGTAAGCACTCTACCACTGAGCCACACCCCCAGCCCATGACACATAGATATACATCCTCAGCATGTGTATCAGGGCTTCTGTATCCTGCCCAGACTCTTCCCTTCCTGCTGTTCCCTATGGTACCACTGCTCTGCTCTCTAGCCAAGCAGATCACTTGTAGTTCCTGGAATGCAGCCAGCTCCTCTTCTCATGGTACCTCTGTGAACCTGTTTTCTCTGTCTGCAGCATCACTCCATGTCTTCCCTAACTTTGCCTAAATGACCATCACTTATCATTCCACCCTTAGTTCAAGTGTCTCCCCATACATGAGGCTTTTCTTACTCCCCACAGCTGCCACACCAGGCTAAGTGCCCCTGCTGAACTGTGCCATTAGGCCCATGTAGGTCTCTTATATTACCTTTCATGCAGGTTTGTCTCCCCTACTCCCTGTGAACTACTTTAGGGCAGGAAGTACCAATACCTGACTTTGTCCCCCAGCACCACTGTATATAGAGTGGATGAATGAATGAGTGAAATCTATTTGGGGGACAGACATTAACAAATGATCATCTGGAAATTTATGGCAATGGGTAAAACTGAGATGTAGATGAAAGGTGCTCTGGAAACCTGAAGGAGCAGACACCTAACCTGCCTGGAGCAGAGAACCAGGGAGGGCTTCCCAGAGGAAGTGGCATCTGAGATGCAAAGGTACCCCAAGATGAGGTAGGGATATGCAATGATAGAGAGACTTGGCTAAGGCTTTCAGGACATGGTAATGTGGGACTGAAGATGAGGAAGCTTTTTTTTTTTTTTTTTCCGAGAGAGAGAGAGAGAGAGGGAAAATATCTTTTTTTTTTTTTTGTAGATGGACACAACACAATGCCTTTATTTTTATGTGGTGCTGAGAATCGAACCTGGTCCTGCCCGTGCTAGGTGAGTGCTCTACCACTGAGCCATAATCCCAGCCCAAAGGGAGCTTAATTAAGATTCATTTTCAAATACCATATGTTTGCACAATGGTAAAATAATGAAATTTCTATTTAAGTGAGGGCTTTTTTGTTCTCAATTTTGTGCATCCTGACTCCTGTAAGATTTCTTTTTCCTTAGAAATGTCCCTCAACACCAAACACAATATTTTGCCTAGCTCTTAGTAAATATAGCCATTTGACAAACTGATACAGAGAGACAGAGATAGAGATAGAGATAGATAGATAGTTGGAGAGAGAGAGAGAGAGAGAGAGAGAGAGTGTTAGAGTTCAGTTTTTTCAAAGTAAAATATTTCTAAATGTGTTTTTTGTTAAATTTAGCTCTTTTCAATAAATATCACAAAAGATTAGGAATAAAAAATGAAGATAAAGATAATTGCTTTTAATCACATAATTAAAATGTTGACAGAAAGACAAATAGGACACATTGTCATTCATTTGTGGAAAAAAATAAGTCAGTTTTGTAGAAGAATAGAGTGGAAGAGTAGTCACTAGAGACTGGGGAAGGCAGCAGGGGGACAGAAGGAAGTTCAAAATGAGGCGTCCAAACACAGCAGAGGAATTACTTATGGTTCCTCTGCAGCAGAGTAGGGTAAATGTAGACTCAAACAATCTACGATATATTTCGAAAGGCTAGAAGTGTATGAAATTTCCAACATATAAAAATGATTGTTTCTGGGTGCAGTGGCACACGCCTGTAATACCAACGGCTCGGGAGGCTGAAACAGGAGGATAGAGAGTTCAAAGCCAGCCTCAGCAAAAGCAAGGCACTAAGCAACTCAGTGAGACCCTTTCTCTACATAAAATACAAAATAGGACTGGGGATGTGGCTCAGCAATCGAGTGCCCCTGAGTTCAATCCCCAATACCCCCCAAAAAAGATTCTTGTGTGAAAAGATGGAAATGTTTCCAATCCTGATTTGATCGTCTCATATTGTATATATGTATCAAATCACTGTAGCATATCCCACAAAATGTACAAGTATCATGCCTCAACTGTAAAACCAAAAAAAAAAGAAAAAAGAAAAGAGATAACCTCATTGTTTTAGCATGTTCTTTAAAATTATAACCCATGTAATATCATAAAGGACAAAGGAAA